AGAGGTACATGATTCAGAAATCACAAATGAGCATGAGGATGATGCTATTGGTTTACGTAGATCAGAGCGTGTACCAAAGTTAACGGACAAGGCTAAATAAGGTAGGTTTTTAGAATTAGAAAAGCGATTTTGGCAAATTCACAGCCGTTTATCATCTCGTGTTGGTAATCCTGAGATTTTAGACACAGAGCCTATTGAAATGATGCAAACCTGTATAGCAGAGATGGAGCATGAACATGATAAATTATTTTACACACACAGGCAGATGCGCATTGTGGAAAGCCCAGTACCTGAGGTATTGCAGGCCGTTGACTGTATGAATGCGTGTGTTGACCGTATTGTCATACGAGCACAACGAATAATTGCCCGAGCAGATGCTCACAGTATGGTTTCATTTGGTTCCATATTTTCACAACAATCTGAGTCAAGCTAAAGATCATCAATTCGAGCAGAAATTGAAGCAAAAGCAGAAGAAACAGCTCGGGGAGAAGAAATGGAAGAAATGCGTAGTAGAAAAGAAAAAAAAAGCGTCGTCAGACAAAACAATTCGAGACAGAAATGCGTCATAAGACTAGGTTTTTAGAGCAACAGAAATTATTAGGCTGACTGTGGAAGATGCCAAAATAGCAGCATGTGTAAAAGAGGAGCTGATTGAAAACTCAGCTGAGCCAAAGACTGGCCAACCAGTATATTCTAACCTGATTCAACCTGCTTCCGCTGTGAAAGGGGAACCTGCAAGTACATCTCACCCACCGATTGAGACTTTCCAGCCAGAAAATGAGCCAGTTATACTGCAGTCAGCTGGTAAGCCAACTCCAAGAAGTGATAGTAATAAGCCACTAGACTCTCGCATCAGTGGAAGAGTATCATCCATCGGAAACCAATCAGGGTATTAAAGCTTTAACAGAAGCTTTGCAATCATCTGTGTCTTGCTATACCGGAACCACCAATATTCACTGGCGATCCACTTTCTTATCCCGATTGTATATCATCCTTCACAACTCAGCCAAGAAAGCTGTGACTGGTTGCTTTCTCCTTAGAAGTGAGAACACATATGAGGAGGCATGACAGGTCCTGGAAGAACGCTACAGCAACTCTTTTGCAATAGCTGAAACATTCAGAGACAAGATTGACAGATGGCCCAGGCAGAGATAACAGGGCACTCCAACAGTTTGCTGACTTCTTTACACAGTGTCAGATTGCTATAAATGACATAGCAGAATTTGTAGTATTGAATGATGTTCACGAGAACCGAAATATGCTTCAGAAGTTACCTGAATGGCTCGTTAACAGATTGAGTCGAGAGGCTGCAAAAATAAAGAGGCACACAAATATGTATCCTCCTTTGTCACCTTCATGCAGGAAGAATCGGATATTGCATGTGATCCTTTGACGTCCATTGAATCGTTAAGGACAACATCTGATAAAGATCAGACGAAATTGGTAACTAATCTACTGAGAAAACATGACCCGCTGTGCATACATTACTGACAGAAACCAAACCAGAAAGTGAGCAGTCATGCCAATTCTGCAAAAAGAGTGGAAATGTTTTTCAAGCATGTTTCACCCTCGCCTCAAAGCCCATGATAGACAGACAGGAGTTTGTAAAGAAGGGTGGTTTTTGTTTTGGATGTTTGAACATTGGCCACATGTCTAAGAATTGGAGTAATCGTAGTGTGTGCAAAAAATGCAGCAAGAAGCACCCCACTAGTCTGCATAGTCAGGAGAAAATAACTTCATCCAAGACATTCACTACTTCTCAAAAGGTATTTCACTCGCCATCACAGGATCATTCAAAGGAACCAAGTGGTGAAACTCAGAAGGCAGATTGCTATAGTATGATTCGACCACCTGAAAGGTGTATTTCTTCAATGATAGTTCCAAGATGGATTTCTAGTCAACATCAGGCAGACAAAGAATTGTTGGTGTATGTATTGTTGGATACACAGTCCTACACAACATTTGTTATGGATAATGCTGCTGAGCAGTTGAACACGACATCAGAACAAGTAGGTCTTCAACTCACAACTATGACCACAAGCAATAGATCAATTTCTTGTCATAGGTATACAGACATTTTGGTTCGTGGATTCAACACAAGTAAGACAGTTTTGTTGCCTGCAACATACTCGCTTGATTATATACCAGTAAAAGAATTACATATACCAACTGTCGATATGGCCAACAGCTGGCCTCATTTAAAACGAAATCGCTGACAGAATTCCTTTTTGACAGTCTTGTGATGTTGGACTATTAATTGGTAATGATTGTCCACAAGCCTTGGCACCACGTAGTTGCATTGCTGGATGTGGAAATGAACCCTGCAGTAGAGACGAATCTAGGGTGGAGCATTGTTGGACATCATGTGGAAAATTATAAGAATCAGGATGTCTTTAGCCATACTCATAGAGTACTGACCAAAGTGATACCAGATAACCTACAGCCACATCAGAGTGGTGAACAAATGATGAATGAAGAACATCAGACCTCATCTGTTTGTTACGCATTCAAGACATCAGCAAGAGAGCATATTATCAATCCATCTGAGGCAGTGAAGATGCTAGAGTTAGACTTTAATGAAACTAGAACCGACACCACAATGTCCCAAGAAGATATGGAAGATTATGAAGGACACCATTTCTAAGGAAGAGGGTGAGTTTTATACCATGCCACAACCATTTAAAGGATACAAGCCAATGCTTCCTGATAATAAGCGCATGGCACAACAATGACTTTCGTTTCTGAGACGCCAGTTTAGGTCTCAACCAAAGTGCCTAGAAGACTACAGACAGTTTGTAGAAGATATTATTGCATTAGGGAACATAGAGTTGGTCGATGAACAGAACACACAAGACGGATCTGTCTGGTATATTCCTCACCATGGGATATATAACCGAAAAAAACCTGGTAAAATACGTGTTGTGTTTGACTGCAGATTTTAAGGAATCAGCCTTAACGACCATTTACTGCATGACCAATATCAACTTAACTCACTTACTGGTGTTTTTTGTCGCTTTTGTGAGGATAAAGTAGCAATTATGTGTGATATCAAACACATGTTTCACCGTTTCAGGGTCAATAAAGATGACAGACTATTTTTGAATCTTATAGTGGAGAGATGGTAATATAGACTCAGAGCCTGGTATATACAGGATGATGGTTCAGCTTTTTAGTGTGGTATCGTCTCCTGGATGTGCAAATTTTGGACATCGACAGATTGCTAAAGATAATCCTCAGTATGGTAGGAATGCTGTTGAATTTATTGCCAAGAACTTCTATGTAGACGATGGACTACAAAGTGTTTCTACAGCATCAGAGGCTGGATGTTTGTAGACTATGCGCACAAGGGAATTGGCGTCTACACAAATTTGTGTCAAATGATCGAGCCACAATAGAATCTGTACCAATATCATAACGTGCTATTAACGTTAAGGATTTAGACCTGTCTTTCAGTGACCTACCAGTCGAAAGAGCCCTCGGAATAGAGTGGTGTGTAGAATCTGACACATTTCATTTTCTATCCAGGGTAAAGAATCATCCACCCACTTGTCGTGGAATATTGTCTGCAGTGGCATCAGTGTTTGACCCACTTGGACTCTTGCATCTTCATAGTCAGTGGGAAGTGCATACTGCAAGAGACGTGTAGGAAAGCGACAGACTGGGATGAGCCCTTGCCAAATGAATTGTGCCCAAAATGGGATCTTTGGCTCTCTGAATTATCTAAACTAAGTGACCTGGGGATAAGAAGATGCTTTAAGCCAGAGCACTTTGGAGCAGTGAAGAAAGTGGAACTCCACCACTTATCAGATGCCAGCTTGAAATGCTATGGGCAATGTTCATATATTCGGTTAGTTGACGATGAAGAAAAGGCACATTGTTCACTTGTGATGAGAACAGCAAGAGTTGCTTCCTTAAAACCATCAACCATTCCACGGTTGGAACTCCAAGCTAGTTTCAATCCAGGTCAGCAATTTCCTGAATAAGGAACTAGATTACAAAAATATAGAAAACCTATATTGGACAGACTCGAGAGTTGACACACGTCGCTTCCACACATATGTTGCGAACCGTGTGCAGAGAATTAAAGAATCATCTCACTCTGAACAGTGGCATTTTATTCATACAGGAGAAAATCCTGCAGATTATGTGTCTCGAAGATCGACTGTAGAAGGCTTAATGAGATCCAATTGGTCCAGACTTTTTGTAGGCCCAAGAACTCCATATTCCTGGCGATGAGGAAATACACCTGTCGGTAGATGATCCAAAATTTAAACGTGTTAGGACCTTGATGTTATTTTCGACAGCACCCAATGACCTGCTGAAACGGATAGAAAGATTCCCTGACTGGACGAAAGCAGTTGGAGCAATTGCTATACTTCACTTTTATCTATCCTGGAAAAAACAAACAATACAACCACTCATGTTGAAGCCAGACAGAAAGCAGCTTGTTCTATCCTGGAATGGACCCAGCAAGATGCTTTCATATAAAGAATTGAATCTTTAGCTCAATCAGAATCAGTAAAAAAGGTTAGTCGTTTATACCCGTTGGATCCTTACATAGACAATAAACAGATACTCAGAGTTGGTGGTAGACTAAGTGGCAGACAGTCTTAAGCATCCAATCATACTTCCGCGAAAGAGCCAGGTTACCACATTAATCATAAAGTGAGGTCATGAAGAAAACTTAGAGGAAAAGCCAATACTCAGAGAACGGCAGATTTGCCTAAAGATTGGCTAGAACCATCTCCACCTTTTACGTACTGTGGGATGGACTGTTTCGGATCTTTTGTGATGAGAGAAAGTGCACTGAGAGCCATACACATATAGCAGTTGTGGAAGAAATGTCAACAGATGCCTTCTTGAACTGCTTGCGAACATTTATTGCTTTTAGAGGACCCGTAAGACATTTGTGTTATGACAGAGGGACTAACTTCGTAGGAGCAAATAATGAGCTACAGCTCGGACTATAATCCCTGGAAGAAGGAAAAATCAAGGATACCATGGCAAGACAGAATTGTGATTTTGTCTTAAACATACCTGCTTCGAGTTACATGGGTGGAGTTTGGGAGCGCCAAATAGGTTCCATCAGAAGAATTCTGGCAGGTATCATGAATCAAGTAGGAACAAGACCGAACACATCATCGTTTCGAACACTCATGTATGAAGTCGAGGCTATTGTTAATAGTCGACCATTAACAGTAGAAAATGTGAATGATCCAACTGGACCAATTCCACTTACGCCAAATCAGATACTGACAATGAAGTCTCACATTATTTTGCCTCCACCAGGAGTCTTTGTAAAAGCAGACATTTATGCTCGAAAGAGATGGCGGGTCATCCAACATCTAGTCAATGAATTTTGAAGAAGGTGCCGCAAGGAATACTTGGAGAATCTCCAGACCAGACAAAAGTGGCAGAAGGCGAGAAGGAACCTTGAAATAGGGGATATTGTGCTACTACAAGAAGATGATGTTGTTAGAAATGAATGGAGACTTGCTAAGGCGATTAACGATGATGATGGTTGCACTCATAAGGTAAGAATCCTAGTCGGTGACCCTTTTCTGTTCAGCCAAGGTAAGAAAATGAATAGGTCAACAGTACTAGAGAGGCCTATTCACAAACTTGTGTTGTTACTTTTATTGTTAGAAGTGTATGATGTTGGAGTATGTTGTGACACTTAATTTGTTTT